TTCATTTCTTTCACTCTTCTTTTTTCTCCCTTATCTTTGGGCAAGTGGAGCAAAGTGTGCTGAAGTTAGAGCTGAGCCTGCGCTGCCCGGTCGGAGCGGGTGGCCGCCCATCAGCTGTGGCCTCAGGGCTCGGCCTCGCGGCTTCTCTGCAGGGTCCAGCCCCAGGGCACCCTCTGCCCCCCGACCTGGCGGAGAATTGGGGCTGAAATCCGCACTTTGGGCTCAGGCTCATCGCTATCTAAGGTACAGAACTTGGAGCTGGCAACATGCACACTTGGTAGCTCTGATTTCTGTGATTTTTTCCATAAAAATCAAGGAGAATTTGAATACCTCCACACCAGCCTAAAAATGGACCTTTGAAGTCCTTGAGCCTCTAATATGCTTTTAATCAATGGAAGAATAATTTATGAACTGTATATAGAGAGTGCATTCATAAACGTGATGATGTATTTTATCACTGATCCAAGATGTCAATATTAGAGTCTATTTTACTTATATTTTAAGCAATTATACTTTTTTGCAATTCGCTAATGAAGTATCATTTTCAAACTGCTTTAAATATCCATTATAAACAAATATTTGAAGTTCTTAAAATTACCTTGAACTGTGCATTTCTAGTATGTAATACATATTTAGTTAGCTTGTGCCTTTAGTTTCTTAAAGTTATATTTGTATTATATGCAGGAAATGCACTTTGTATTACCTACAGCTGTGTTTTTTAATACTGCCTTGATTACTGTTGTTCTCATGTTATGCCAAAAGGTCAGAGAGTGACATGTATTACAGGTTTATCTCTGAAAGTAGATTGGGCATTTCCCAGCTCCTGGGTAGACATTCTGGGTACATTTTTGAGTATTTCTTACAAGAATACTGATGTATAAAGACTCACATGACATTACATGGCCCTGTTACCAAAAAAAAGCCTTCCTTACAAGAGTTTCAGGAATCTAGGAAGCTAAAAATAAATGGCATCTTGAGATAACAGTTCAAAAGAAGCAAATATTTTGTACAAGAGCACTGGAGACTGGTGGTGCATCAACATGGACCAGCCAGTAGTAACTGATGAGAACTACAAGAAACATATAGCTTTGGACCATCTTGTCCATGAACAACCTCAGATGGAGGCAGGGAATATTTCAGTCTCCATTTTTTTTTTCCTGGCAGTTAGGCCAATTTTTTAGTGTTGCTTTTGAATTTTTTCTTTCTTTTTTGATTTTTGCACTATAGCCTAGAGACCCAAATGAGAAAACAAAAAGACGACTTGGAAATGGAAAATTCTTCTTGTCAATTAGATTGGATAATTTGATGCTAGCATTCTACACTGTGAATGAGGTCCTAAAAAAGTGGAAAAATACAAATTAAGTTAAAAAAAAATCCACTGTTGCACACTATCCTGTAGCAGAGTCCCCCCGTGAGAAGATACCTTATATTTTTTATGACAACCAAACAAATAGTGCATATAAATAACATTTCCTTTGCTTTCATATTTATTTAGCAAATCTAGAACATTTCAAAAGTATAAATATATATATAGATATATATGTAGAACATAGCCAAATAAATATATATGAACTGGTCAATGTGCAACTCGGTATACACATTCTAGCTGTTTAGTTTGAGATCTTCAGCGTCCTCTCAGTTGTAACGCTAGTCAGATGCGGCCTCTCTTTCTTTGCCACGGCTCCCCGCACCCCGGGCGGCTCCGCTCCCGCAGCCCCACGTGGCACCGTGTCCCGCCGGGAGGTCCCGTGGGCTCCGCGCGGTGAAGGAGCCGACGGAGCCGCGCGGACAACCCCGAGGGCTCCTCCCCAGCCAACGTGGACTCTTTCTGAAACCCATCCTTGATGCAAAGCATTTCCAGGGCACAAGCATCCCGGCTGTAGGAAGCAGCACTCCTCAACAGAAACTGGTGCTGGTAGAGCTCGACTTGGCGCTGTGGATTTGTCTCGGCATCTGTCATCGGCCATCGTCTGTCCAAGGAAACGTGTTTTGACGATGACCAACTTTTCCTTAGCTCTCGTGGTGGACTTTATCCTCTTAATAAATGTTAGTATATCAGATTGTGTCCTTGACAGTATTTTACTTGTATGAACCATGGTAAACATTAAAGTCGTCATACTCTTCTGGCAAAAGTGTCAATAAAAGCGGGAGAGACGCGTGGCGTGCACTATGTGTCAGAGCAATGTTCCTTTCAGCTTTCTCATGAGAAGTAAAAATGTTTACACCGTATGCCAAGATCTTCGGTTTCTGCCTAACGCCAGCTGGAGGTTCTGATCTTACCGAAATTGTGGTTTAACGGCCCAAACCTTGTTGCTAGGAGACACTAGGTTCCCCTTTTTTATTCCTGCTCTAACTCCTGTGCTGAACAGTGACTGGGTACTGTACAGGTCTGTGTTACATGGCTGCAGTGAAACGGTCTGAGGTTTGCTCTGGCTTTCAGACCAGAAGCATGCTTTTCTACAAGAACATCCCAGCAACGTGCTGTAAATATTGAAAATTAATATATTATGTGTCGATATTTGAGAAAAAAGGTACTTTGACTATTTCATTTTTAAAAAATAAAGGTGCAAACTAACGACACGTGATGTGGTCTGTGTTTCCACCACGCGGGATGCCGTCACCGAGTTTAGGAAGTGCGTCCCTGCGGGTGCCGAGGTAATACCCAAGTGCAGCTTCAGAAGCATTGGTTGGTGCAAAAACCAGGGGAGCGAGGGGTGTCGCCTGCAGTTTGATTCACCAGTGAATGTAGCTCTCATAGCACTGCATGCAAAATCACAACTCAGCTCTGCACACAGGCGACTATTTCATCAGAAAAACATGAGCAAGGGAGTTCTGGTAAGCAGCAGCATGCTTCCACAAAGCAGTCATTCAGCTGCCATAGGGCCCAAGCAGGAAAGCTGAATCAGAATAATGGTTGAAAAAGGCCTTTGAGTTCATCGAGTCCCAGCCGTAAGCCCGTCAACACCATTCCCACTAAACCATGTCCGTAAGTGCCTCATCAACACGTTTCTTGAACACTGCCAGGAACAGTAGTTCCACCACTTCCCTGGGCAGTCCTTGACTAGACTGCATGTAGAAATTTTTCTTGATTTCAAACCTGAGCCTCCCCTGACACAACTTGAGGCCATTTCCTCTTGTCCCGTCAGTAGTTATTTTGGAGAAGAGATCGACCCCCACCTCGCTACAACCTCCTTTCAGGTAGTTGTAGAGAGCAGTAAGGTCTCCCCTGAATGTCCTCCAGACTAAATAACCCCAGCTCCTCCAGCCACTGCTCCTAAGGTCTGCGCTCCGGCCCCTTCACCAGCTTCATGGTCTTTCTTTGGACACACTCTATGTGTTCCTTGTAGTGAGGGTCCCAAACTGACTACAGTATTTGAGGTCCAGTCCCAGCAGTGCTGAGTAGAGGATAATCACTTCCCTAGTGCTGCTGGCTACACCATTCCTGTTACAAGCCAAGAGGCCGTTGGCACACACGTGGGCACACTGCCGGCTCATGTTCAGCCAGCTGTTAACCAACACTCCCAGATCCTTTTCTTCCACACAGCTCTCCAGCCACTCTGTCCCAGGCCTGTAGTGCTGCATGAGGTTGTTGTGACTGAAGTGCAGGGCCCGGCACTTGGGCTTGTGGAACCTCATAGATTGGCCTCAGCCCGTTGATCCGGCCTGTCCAGATCACTCTGCAGAGCTTTCCTACCCTCGAGCAGATCAACTCTTCCTCCCAGCTTGATGTTGTCTGCAAATTTGCTACGGTTACACTCAGTCCCCTCATCCAGATCATAGATAAAGCTCTTAAAAGACGACGGGCCTCAACACTGATCCCTGGGGAACACCATTTGTGACTGGTCCCCAGCTGGATTTAACTCCATTCACCACCACCCTCTAGGCCCAATCACCCAGCCAGTTTTTCACCCAGTGAAGAGGACCCCTGTTGAAGCCATGAGCTGCCGGCTTCTCCAGAAGGCAGCAGGGGGAGAGTGCCAAAGGCCCTGCTAAACTCTAAGTTGAGGACGTCCACAGCCCTTCGCTCATCTGCTAGGCAGGTCACCTGGTCACAGAAGGAGATCAGGTTGGTGAGGCAGGACCTGCCTTTCATGAACCCATGTTGGCTGGGCCTGATCCCATGGTTGTCATGCACATGCTTGATGCCCTCAAGAGATCTGCTCCACAACTTTCCCTGATACAGCGGTCGGGCCTGTAGTTCCCTGAATCCTCCACCCAACCCTTCTTGTAGATGGGTGTCACATTGGCAAGTTTCCAGTTGTCTAGAACCTCCCCTGTTTACCAGGACTGTTGAGAGTTGATGGAAAGCGATGAAGGGAACTCTCATTTCCTGACCTGCCTCAAAGCAATGATGAGCAATTGCTCATATCACAACTGCATTTACAAGAAGGAACCTAAGCACGCGGTGCTGCCTGTGGGGTGGCTGAGGCAAGAGGAAAGCTCTGGAGCAAGGCAGCAGCACATGAAGATGCATCGTCATCACCTGAGGGCTGTCAGGACCATGGGGACTTGGGGTTCCCAGCTCAGCACCTCTGCAGCTCACATGTGCTGAAATATGTGACAATCATAAATTTCAGTAGTTTCTAAATATTCTATGTGAGAGCAAACCAAGCTCAACATGCCACTGTGCTGCACAGCTAGATAAGGATCTTGGTTCAGCTGCGGGTTGTGCAACAGGTTGGTGCAGCACGATGCACCACGTGATGCTCAAGTGCAGAAGCGTTGTGGCAGGAGGGATGGGATGATGCTGCGCTGGAGAGGAGAGCTGACCATAGAAAAAGATGGAGCAAGGACCGATGCTTGTCACCATGTCCTAACAGTGCCCTCCACCTGTCCCTTCTTCGTGTAGGTGGTTGTTCCCACTGCTGATTCACAGGGAACAGGCTGCATGTCAAGACAAATGGCATGGACACCCACAAGCACGCACAAAAACAACGAAGCAGAACTTCCAGCCTTATCAAATGCAAAGCTAAATGCTGCTTGCACGGGACTCAAACTGCTTAACCACTGCAATTGCAGCCCTTTTCCTGCCTCTGCCCCATTTGCTTTGGCCAAGCAACAACATGGGGACCCATAGGATCAAGCCAGGGTTTCTGATCATGGTGTGTGGGTCTCCCTAGTATATCATGCAGGCAGGCACATACACGGCCGTGCCAGCACCTTGGCGAGACAGTTCGCACCAGTGACACCCCTGTGGGCAGCAATGCATGGAGGTGTGACCTGGGGGAGAACCGCTGCAGCACACCAAAATACCCATCTTGGGAAAGAAAAGCAGAGCAAACAGCATGCAAAAATAATTTATTTCTCTAAGACATATACAGTTTGCTTTTTTCTTTTTGACGTCAAAAGGATAGCTAAAAAAACACTGATCACAGAAAACACAGAACGGTTGAGGTTGGAAGGGACCGCTAGAGACCATCTAGTCCAACCCCGCCTGCTCAAGCAGGGACACCTAGAGCACATGGCACAGGGTCGCATGTGTTCTAGGTATCCCTGCTTGAGCAGGGCAGTTGGACTAGTGTTCCCTTGTCATTGGTTATTCCCAGGCACTCAGTAAGGTGCTATCATCACCCAGGCAAGCCATGAGCAGCCTATCTATCTGCAGGGCAGGAGCTCCTGGAGTGCCACAGGGCTCCTGGCACAGCTGCAGCAAGGGAAGATGATCGCTGCCATGTACACATGCTGCCCAAGGCAGGGGCACCATCCCCCTAAGCAACTTCTATGAGGACATTTGCCTCAGACCTGTGCCTGGCCCGGTTCTGTAGGAATCTCAACCAGAGCAATTGAGTCTGACGTCACGTCACATAAAAATAGGGACTAATCTTAAAGTAGAAAACACTTGTACTGGGAGTACAAGGAGAAAAAAAGAAAAGAGCTAAAGACATTACACTGCTTAGTGGTTGACTTTTTTTTATCTTAGATATATATTTTTTAAAAAAGCAAAACTAAATTCAAAACATTTCAAAACTTTTTTGAAGCTTGAAACCTGTTTGAGCTAGAAAGTCTGTTACATACACATTTCTGCAAATGTTACATGAAAACTCATGGAGTTGTGTTTTAACCATCACATAGGCCCGTCTGCTGCAGGGCACGGCGCAGCGGCGAGATGGGCCACGCACACGCGCATGTGAGGTGGGGGGCGTCTTCATGAGGGCTGCAGGTGGAAGCCATGGCCGTCCTTCCTCCCTGAGGAGAGCAAGCGCAGAGAGGTGAGGGCAGCGTCTCGGCAGCAAGGAGGCTGAGCACAACAGTCACTCTCACAGAATCACAGAATCATTACAGCTGGAAAAGCCCTTCGTGTTCACTGAGTCCAATCGTAAACCCCTCAACACCATATCTGATAAACCATGTCCCTAAGCACCTCATCTATATGTTTCTTGAATACTGCCAGGGGCAGTGGCACCACTTGCCTTGGTGGCCTGTTCCAATGCTTTACTACTCTTTTCATGCATAAATTCTTTCTAATGTCTAACAGAACCTCCCCTGGCACAACTTGAGCCTCCTCTTCTCCAGACTGAATAACCCCAGCTCCCTCAGCCGCTTCTCATAAGGAAGGTCTGTGCTCCAGAGCCTTCACTAGCTTTGCTGCTTTTCTGTGTGCTGGACACACTCCAGCACCTCAATGTCCTTCTTGTAGTGAGGGGCCCAAGCTGAACACAGCATTTCAAGTGAAGACAGTATTTGAGGTAAGGCCTCACCAGCACCAAGTATAGCAGGATGATCACTAGAGAGTCCTGCTGGCTACACAGTTCCTTTACAAGCCAAGACACTGCTGGCATCCTGGGCAATGGCAGCAGGGAGCTATGCCAGGCTCTTGCTCCAGAGAGGCCGTGCAAAAGCCACCCTCAGGTGCCATCGATGGGGTCCCCGTCAGCAAAGCTTAAGGAGGGTTTGGCAGGTGGCACCTCACATACCTGCAGCAGTGGGGCGCTTGGCCCTGCCCTCGGTGACCACAGGGTGCTGCAGGGGCGTCACGATGCCCTGGTCGGGCCTCTGGAAGGCCGTGAGCAGGTTGTTCATCTTCCGAAAGAGCCGCCGGTTGACGCCGGGCGCCGTCTGCAAAGACACAGGGCCACGCGTCACGCGGGGCGGGAGGACAGAGGGACGGCGCCGGCCGCCCCAGCAACGAGCTGCCCCGGCCTCTGCACCCATCCCACCGTTCTTTGCCGCCGCAGCAACGTGAATCACTCCTACCCCAGGTCTGAATGACCCCAGAAATCAGGCTCGTCTCTCAGAGCACTGCAAATGCTTCAGTTATAATAACAGCCAAAGAACTAAGCCTATTTGTTTAGCAATTAGTCACTGTTTGCAACTCAGTGTTTGTTAAGGTGCAAACCGACCGCTAATTAGGAATTAATATGCTGACTGCCTGCAAACAGAGAGCAAGACCTTCACAAAAGAAATAGAGGGTAACATTCTTACTGCTTCAGCAGCGAAGTCTCTGCTGTAAATAGGCTTGTGCACACCTGAATCCCCAGCACACAGGTGTAGACACATTTTGTGTCAATATTTGGCTATCCTGTAAGAAGTGCACATGCATGTATGTTTTTGTATCCTATATATATTTTACACAAATGATGAATTCATCTGGAGAAGAAATAAAGTTTAAAATGGTGGATGTTGCAAGTTGAATTACTTTAGACATTCTGTCATCAGTAACGTGTGACAGAAGAGAACTGCATGCTGATGGTGCTTGTCAAACTGCAAAAGCACAATATTTTTGCCATTTAAAATGCTGCAAAGCAATGCACTACTGCATTATGCAAGAGCTGAGACGTAACAGGGAATGAATTTACGAGCTCAGGACTGCCAGAACTGGCACCAAGACATCTTGATGATGGGCTTGCTCAAGATCAATTACCTTCAATGAAAATCAGACTATGCAGAAACGTGAATAATTTGAAAATACTTTGTGAATTCAATACCAAACAGTAGAGTATGCAGGGCTTTTTCAGAAGGATGGGGAGAATCACCCACCTCAGCGCTCCAGGACCCTTCATCTGTCTTGGACACCCTGTAGGTGTAGACGTAGCCTTGATGCCTGTAAAAAGAAATTTTATTTATTATTTACTTGTAATTTATTCCATCAGATTTCATGCGCAGCACATTCTAGTAAGTGGGAGACCGACCTTTCCTTAATAAATTCACCCATATGGTCTCTAGTTAGATGTAAAACTGAGACGTAGCTCAGAAGATGTCTTTAAGCCTCCCTTTTTTAAATTTTGATGAGAGGAATTGGTTTTACTCAGATCTAATTTGGAGATACTCAGTTACTCCAGGTTAAATGATTGTTTTGCTTCCTGCTGGAACATTTTTATTTTTACTTTCTACTTTTTTCAGTGGTGTCCTTTTAATGACACAACTCACACATAACTTCTTTGTAAAAAGAACACTTGTATTATTATCAGACAACACTGCTGCTGTGTGATTTATTTAAATGCAGATGTTCCCAGAAGCAATACCAAGAGTGTAATAATTTATTTAGAAAGCTAGAACCACAAAAATCCAGGTAAATTACTTTTTGCCTTGTCAGTACATTCCCAGTCCTCAAACATTGATAGAGGAGACCCTGGACCTTAAGAGAGTGTGAAATCTTTTTTTTTTTTTTCTTTTTTTTTTTTAATCTATTTGGAGACCTTTGAGAATAAGAAGCCGTGAGTCCTGCTGTTCCTCATAACCCAGGACAGTGAGTGATTTATATGGTAAAATCTTACATCAGTACCCAAAGATACACCTTAGAAGCAGGGACATGAAAACAGTTTCACGGGTGCGACGTTAGCTGAGATGCTATCATCAGACAAGAAAAAGTGTATTTATTTTATAATTCACAGACTATCTGACTGCATAGCAGGGTTTTAGGGACCACTCACTATTTCAGCATCAATTTTTATTCTTAAGAAAGCAAAAAAAAACACTCTATCTCTTTCCAATTATACACAGTGTTACAGTAGTTACTACAAAATAGCAGACACGATCAATGATGCAGACACCCTAAGATTGCAATTATTTACACTCCATGTCATCGCTCCTGGACAAATTCTTATTAAGAAGTCATTATAGCAGCCCCTGCAAAGGCCTTTGCGACATGATGCAGCCAGGGAGGAAGCTGTCACACTGCTCCAACACCATGAAGTGGGAGCTGGACACCCAGCTCCGATTTGTGGGCATTTTTCCCCCCGACAATTTAGCGCAGAGCCGCTGGGATACAAAGTGTCTTCCCTCCTGTCCGACCTGCAGGGACACGGCTGGTTGCTGCATCACGGCAAAGCTGCCCTGCTGCTCACGCAGGGGGACACCCATCCAATAGGAATCTCAGCTTTCCACCACGGTTTTGTCCGCCTTCCCTTTTTAAGGAGCGTTTTTGCAGAGCCACAAGTACCCTGCTGGTGCCAGATGGACATGAGAAGCATCCATTTGCCTGGTTGTTCATGGACAACCTATGCAGAGGTGCAGGGGGGCGACCCAGACAGACGGCACGGTTGTACGCATGTCCCGCTCTTGGATGGTCACTGTGGTTGACAACACAGCCCAAACTCAGATGTTTAAAGCACATCCATAGAGAGGCTACCAGACAAGTTCATGTCTGGAGAAGCCATTGCCTCCCATTATAGCCCTTAGATCACCTTTTTGTACCACATCTTAAGACTGATGTCATATCCTCACATTGTGAGTATATATCACATACATTTCCATAGTCTCTTGAGTAGCTGGGGTTCACATCATCTTTCTAGAAATCACAACGGGCTCTCCTGCTGCCTATTATATGTAAGATGTCAGCCAATGTATAGAAACTGAAATAAGATTTTTGTTTTTTTAGGCCAGGGTAAAGGGAAATACCAAATCTATTCTTGCATTTTATCCTGTCTGTTTGGGACAGGTGTTTGACCATCTCCCTGATATTTTTCTTTCCAAACCTCAAAATCAAGAGAACTGGCTAGTAAAATCTAAAACTCACTCTCTTGCCTCCTGTTTTTACTAATACTCTGTGAAGATCACCAGCGCGCAGTTGTCCTGAAGCACTCCAAGTGCTCAATGGCTTTAAAATCTGATTTTTCCACAAACGGCTCAGTTGCCTGGAAAACTACCATCTGTTGTTTGTCTTTTCCTCTTCCTAAGAGAGCACATGACTTTTGAAGTGGTAGAGAGACTGGGGTGCTCAGAGGTCTGATGGCTTTTCACATGCTGCCAGGAGAGTCTACTAAGCTGGACAAGCTGAAAAATAAAGTCCAGACAATATTCAGGGCCCAAGGATATAGACAACTACCTAGCATAAAAAAACTGTAAATAACCCAGTCAAGCCTGGGGAAAGCACAAATGATAATACAGATATAATCTGCAAGAGAAAAAGAAACAAGGATGTGGACGTTTTGAGCACAATGCGGAACATGAGCAGAATGTGACACTGCTGTCACAGCCCTGCCAGTGACAAGTGAGAGCTTCAATTCATTCGGCAAATCTGCTTTTACTTTTTCCCCAGAGGAGGAAAGACTGCAAGGCATGAAGAGGGTTTAGAGCGCGTAAGCTGAAAAACTCAGTGTTCTCATCTGTTGTTGGCACCGAAGCCGTCAGTAAACAAAGCCCCTTTGCACAAAAGGAGATGATACAGGCACTCTGTGGATGCTTCTTCCAAGGAAATGGACCAAGGAATGGGGCTGTGTTTTGTTGAGAATGCGAAAAACTAGGTTTTCCCATCCAAACACTTTCTGCCAGGATCTTTGTTTCCACAAAATGAAGGCTTTTCTGATAATTACTCCCATAACGAATATGATCTTATCAAAACTTTCTGTTAAACAGCAGGAACTTACTTCATTACCACTTCAAAGTTCTTTCTACCTTGAGTGTGTGAGTGACATGATTTTGATGAGCCAAAATTCTCTTTATTTTTACACGGGCACAGGCTCCCATGAGCAATATCTTATGATTTAAGCAACCCAACATATATTGAGATCAGTGGGGCTGAATGAAGAACAAGCTGTTTTTTTCTTAAAACAAAAATCAGCAGTAAAAATTAAAAATTGAGCCCGTGCAGAACACTTGTTTTCCAAGTAGTATAAGAGACAACACCTGGAGAAAGCGAGCAAAGAAGCGGACTTACAGGCCCTTAGGTCTCAGGAGATGGGGAATTCCCCAGCAACTATCAGAGGATGGTTCAGTTTTCTACAGCTTACTCAGTTCATGGCATAAAAAGGCTCATTTACAGGCTGTCCCGATGCCTCAGTTTGTGGCAGCAAACTGAGCTGCTCAAGCCAGCAAGCCAAGCACCATGCGGCCTGGGCACAGCTGTCCCCATGGGCTGGTGGCCACTCTCCCCGTCACAGACTGTGTCTCAAGGCTGTTGTCCTCACAGAGCCAGGACCTGACATCTCCTCCTCGGGCAAGGGAAGAGCAAGAAGGATGCGCAGCAGGTCAATGAGAGGAGGACTTCAGGTGGACTCTCACTGACATCCGCTTGTCCGGTTTCTGTGAGAAGAACCTCACACCCAGGCAAGGACCTGATGAAAGGCAAGGCTGTCCCTTCGTCTGGCTGGGTTTCTGCCATAGTGTGTTTTGCTATCGCAAAGGTCCTGCCCTGTGCCAGTGAAGCTAAAGCAATGGGCACAACCCCAAATTAGCAGCTCAGTAACCTGAGCCCTATAAACTCCCAATCAAAGGTGGAAGGTGTTGGTGCATCTTGAAGATGCTGGCAAGGTGAAGTGGAAAATAAATCTTGCTAAAAACACAGGTCTGGACAGCACTTAAAAAAGAGTAGCTTAGTCACCACTGATGGTTTTTCTCTCACCTCACGTGTTTCAGGTATTGTCTCATCTCCATAACAAAGGCTGTGCTATACCAGCTGGGAACACCACTAGCACCGTCTCTGTTGCAGCACTATAATTAGGAAAACTTTGTCAAAGAAAAATCTACGAAAAGTTCTTATGACAGGAAACAGTCCACTTTGTATTACATTTGTGTTTTTCTTTACAGACAGATAATTCCTCCCAATGAGCTACAAAGGCATCTTTCACAGATGACAAACCAAGACAGCATCTGTCTACCTGTCCTCTCCACTCCTGCCTTTCAGCTGTGATCAGACTTGTTAAAGCCGTATTTTCCTTAACAGGTGAATAATTATAATCTTCCGCACCACTGAAATTGCTAGAGGATATTAGCCACATGCTGCAGCTTAAAATTAACCATGACATTTCAGCTGCACGGTACATTTTAGAATCACTTCCAAATGTTTTGCATCTCAGTTGGGAAATTTTATTAAACTAATTTGTATTCATTTCTGACTCCAAAATGGAATGTAAAGGGATCAAGACAGAGATGGGGGGAAAGCAATGTCAGCAATAAATGACATCAATTTCCTTCTCTTTACATCTCTCTTTTTTCTGATGTCTTTGCACTATAATAATCAACTCTTCTTACCTGGTGCATTTGCATCCTGACCTCACCTGGGGATTTCAGCTGGACAATTTTGTCTAAGAATGAGCTGTCTCTGCAGCCTGTGAGTAATGGCCCTGGGTGCTAGGCATGCCCATATGCGGTGTCTTTTGGGCTTTTGCACAAGGCTGTCACCTCAGCCTAATGTGGAGGTGAAACATGGAGAGGTCAAATGAGGGTGTCAGGAAAAAAAAAAAACACATTTTCCACATGCTCTCCACGTGTTGCATGGGGGAATGGTGGGTTTTTTTGGTGGAGTTAGTTATTAAAGCAAGACTGAAAATTTGCTTGAAGGAAGGTTTGGCTCCAAGAGAGACCCAAGCAGTGGTGGCCTCTGGTAGCTGTCAGCTCTGCTGTTCTGGCCACATCTGGGTGCACAGCTACAGCAGCTCCCTGCCTTCACACTAGAGATGTTACCTGTCTTGGCCTGGGGGAAAGAAAACTGGAACTCAGTCGAGACTGGGGATCTTGGAGAGGAAGGATGGTGGGAGAAGGAATTCCAAGGGGCTCTGCAACCGTGTTTGCTGGGCAAGGAAATGAGGAGCAGGGTTGTGATCAGAGCCACCAGCAAGGACCATGGCCCTGCAGCAAAAGGATGACACAGTCAGTCCAGCCCAC